TTTATTTGTTAATTATGAAAGCTTATTACCTAATTTAATAGGAATCCCTTGAAAACTTTTATTACTTTTCAATGCAGATAAAGAAAATATAATCATTCTTTGATATCAATATCATACCAATAAAATGAAACTTCATGATAGTATATAACCTATGCTATTCATTGTATCCCACTTAAATATTTTCCCTATTTCTATATGGGAATCAACATATAATTTACAACACTGTTTTTCTCATATCAAAAAAGATACTTTAAGAAATGAAATTTAAAAAAATCATCAAAATATTATAGAGTTCATTTATATAACAAATATTTATTCAGTGCTTACTATCCACCAAACTCTGGGAGTAAAGCAGTAAAACTATAACACACTCACACACTCAAAAATACTACACAGCCGAAAGAAAGAACTCCTACACTTCGTGACATGGTGGATGGAACTGGAGAGCATTATGTTAAGTGAAATAAGCCAGGCAGTGGAAGACAAATACCATATGATCTCACCTATAAGTGGAACCTCATCGACAAAACAAATGGGCAAAACAGAACCAGAGACATTGAAATAAAGACCAAATTGACAGTGGCCAGAATGAAGGCAGCAGGGAGTAATGGGGAAAGAAGAGGAAGGGCAAGCAAAGGAACAGGAATAGAGGACTCATGGGCACGGACGGGGATGGGGGATTGACTGTGGGAGTAGGGGGAGAACATGGTAAGGGTGAGCAATGGGGAAAAAGGCAGGGAAACTGTAAATAAACAACATAAAACATTTTAAATATCATTAAAAAAAAGAATAACCACAGTTCTGATGTTATAAAAAGAAATAAGAGTACACCAAGTGTAACACAGGAGTAAGTTTCAGCTGTCATCTAAAGTTTACACTAAAAACTAACACTGTCTCTACCTTTGTCTATTAACCTTCTCATGTGTAGAGCACCCCGGATTTTAACTTCCCCTCAGTTCTCAATCCTACACTCTATCATTAAACTAAGTCTAAATGAAAGTCTTTTTCCAAACCTAAAACATAAATGAATAAATAAATAAATAAATAAATAAATAAATAGATAAATAAAACCATCCAAAAGACATACAGCAAAAGTCCCATCTTCTATTTCCTCACCCATCCACACACAAGATCTATATACTCTTCCAGATTTTCTTTATGTAAATATGAATATCTCTAAATATTCATATTTCAATGTTTACAATATACTGTTTGAACTCTGCTCTTGTCAAATAACAACATATGTTTGAAAACTTCCCAAATCTGCATATAGAGAACATCCTTTCTTTTTTTTTTTTTTTTTACAGCTATAGAGTATAGATATGCCACTGATCATTTAACAAGTGCCCCATTGGTAGACATTAGGGGTGTTTCCAACAGTTTGCTACTACAAAAAAAAAGCTACAATTAAAACTCCTATATATGTTATATTTTAAGTACACAAGTATATCTGTAAAACATTCCCATAACTGGTACTGAGACAAATGTCTGAAGGCATTGACCTTTTTCTAGGAGTTGCCAATTTATGTGGGTTGGGTCATTTTGCACTTCCACCACCTATGGGTCTCAGATGTATCCTAAAAAAAGCTATGCCTCTCTTCAGGCCTCTAAGATATTTTGTTTACAAAGCAAATTCTGAAAGATATTCTCACTGCAAAAATCTATATGAAGCCCTTTGTTTCTTTTTCCCTAAATGCACATGCAAAATTTGTTGATTTATTAAGTTTAAGAGCAAATGAATTTTCAAATTTAAAAACACCTCTCTGATGCTGGAGATCATCACAGTGATCCTACTGTCCTGGAATAGCAGTTGCATATCTCCCCAAAACCTCCTGCCATCCAACAACTAATACACTCCCCACTCCAGTGTTTTCTTTAAACACTTTCAATAGTGTATGGGTGAGCATTCAAATGCATTTCACTTTCAAATGAACATTTTCCTAAAGCACTTAAGTGTTATCATGAAACCAAATCTGTTATTTCTATATTTTCCTTTAAGAAGCTATCATTTGAAAGGTGGTTTAATCTTTATGATTGCCATTTTCAATAGGTAGTCTCAGGAACAACTATAAAGGACACATGGACAAAACCAAAGGCAGGGCGGAAGCAAGGAGAGAGGTAACCTTGGTTGGTGTGGGGAGTGAGTGGGGGGATAGGGGGTAAATGCATACAACTGTAATTGAACAATGAAACAATTTTTTTTAAAGAAACCAACCACTTAAGTCCACTGGACTTTCTACATGAAGGAATCCTTAAGTAAATCCAGTTTCAATATCACTGTTTCATAAGAAAAGAGGTGCATGATAATTTTTATTCCCTGAATGAGAATGCATCTGTATATGCAATGCAATCCACGTTTCATTTCATTCATTCAGAAATCAGTTGTAAAATAATCTCAGTCCTCTCAAACAAACTGGCTAGCCTGGAGATGGATCCCAAAATAAATTTTAAAAAGCTGCCACCCATTCTAGGCTTTTAGCCAGTCAATTGGAAAAAACCATACTTAAGCTCCAACCTAAGCAATGTATAAAGTTAGGCAAATGCTGATTTTAATATTAGAGTCAATATAATGCACAGACAGCAAAAAGAAACAAGTAAGAATTACCTAACAAAGCTTACACAAAACAAAACATATCACAAGTACCCCCAGAACACAAAAGTTTATCAGTCTAGTACAACTTAGGAGAACTACACAGCATAATGGTCTCTGAGGAAATCAAATAAATTCTGTGAAATGACTGATGTTTTCAAGGTCAACTTTGAGCCACCAAAACAGAATTTAAATTATACTATTTGTCGTGTTTAAAAAACAGAAGGGCAAATTTTAGATTTTAGAAGCTTTTTAAAAATATATTCCTACCAAACAAATTTTGACACATAAAAGGATAAGGTTCACTCATCTACAAAATTAACAAATGAGAAATATTTCATTCATTAACAATAGCCCATGAATGAGGCTACTCAAAGAAAATTCTCACTCAAAGTCAGAATATACTATGGCTACCTTTTAAAAGAGGAACCGTAATAAAGTACAATAACATTTGGGGGGCTTTAAATATAACATTCCCTATGCTGTCAGTTCTTGGTTAATAAGAGAATATCTAATAATATTTGAAAATTAGTCAGGCAAATTTTCCACTTGAATGGCTGGACACATTCAAGAAAATATCCTGATTTCACTTTTCACTTTGTTTTCTTTAAGTTACAACTGCCAAGTGGACAGGTTGGTCTGGTTTCTAGCTCCAACTTGCTAAATGACCTTGTTCAAGTGACTCAATCTCTCTAGCCCTTAGTTTCTTCATCAGTAAAGTTGTTATAGAAAATATGACATGACAGTAAACAATAAATCTGCTAATAAAGTAAAACAAAGAGTTACTACATTAGATCTATGTCTATATCTATATTATATCTACATATTTATTTGTCCATTCATCCTCGCCCAAGCACATGCTTATTGATTTTAGATGGAAGGGAAGGGGAGAGAGGAAGAGAAGCACTGATGTGAGAAACACTGACCAACTGCCTCTTGTATACTCCCTGACTGGGAACCAAACCCGCAACCTAGGTATGTAACCTGACCAGGGACCTCAGAGACAACCTTTTGGCATATAGGACGATGCTCAACCAATGGCACCACCCAGCCACAGCTGTATCTATACTATTTGTATACTATTTGTTTAAAGTATCACATATAGGCCACTTTACTATATATTTAAGGCGTACAGTAAAAGAAACAATAATCCCTTCAGAATCTTTTCCAATATTTAATGTTACTTTCATGATTCGATAAATTTCTCATGCATTCACTTAAATTAACTTAAAATACCACTATAATAAATTCTCTTTAACCTGAAAATGAGACTTTTTCTACATGACACATACAAAAAACACATGAAATGTAAAAGAACATCCACGGCAATGTCATTTATAACACACAAACTGTAGAAACAACCCAAACATCTACCAATATTAGAATAAATGAATTGCCATATTCATTCCAAAAGAATAATATATGGGGCTGGCAAAAAAACTCATTTGTTTTTTCCATAATATAGCTAGCTCTAGAAGCACTTAGTTCCCTTTAACTTCATTCAAAACAACTTTGTTAGATTGTACTGTAACAGGTGTCATATCGGTGTGTACTTAAAAATACTGCAATTGGTGAATTTTTGTGTAGCCATTTCAATACTGAAGATGGAAGAAAATATGCAACATTTTCAGTATATTATGCTTTATTATTTAAAGAAAGATAAAAATGTAACTGAAATGCAAAAAAATAAATGATTTGTACAGTGTATAGAGAAGGTACCGTGACTGACCAAACATGTCAGAAAGTGGTTTGCAAAGTTTCCTGCTGGAGATTTTTCACTGCAGGATGCTCCAACAGTTGGGTAGACCAGTTAAAGTTGATAGCAATTAAATCAAGACATTGAGAACAATCAATGTTATATCATTTGGGAGATAGCCAACATACTTAAAATATTCAAATCAATAAAGTTATTGGTAAAAATAAAAATGTGACTTTTATTTTGTGGAAAAAACCATTCACACTTTTTAGCCAACCCAATACTAATAATGAAAATGAATGAAATAAAACTACATGCAACTACCTTTGAAACATAATGCTGACTAAAGGAAGAAAGAATACATATAGTTAGCCCTGGCTAGTGTAGCTGGGTCAATTGAGCACAGGCCTGCAAACTAAACAACCATGGTTCGATTCCCAGTCAGGGCACAAGCCTGGGTTGCAGGCCAGTTCCCAGCAGGGGATGCACAAGAGGCAACCATACATTGATATTTCTCTCCCTCTCTCCTTCCCTTCCCCTCTAAAGATAAATAAATAAAGTCTTTTTTAAGAAAGAATACATATAATTGCACACAGTGACTCTCACCAGCTGGCCCACCGATGTCCCATGTCACCTGGTACCCCAGCTGGCACCCCACCCGCCAGGTACTCTTTGATAAAGCCTGGGGAGCCTGCTGCTGAGTGGACTGCTCACCACTGGTGCTAAAGGGAATGGCACCTCCATGGAGAGTAAGGACTTCTTCCAGCTGTTAGAAGGCGACACGTGCCTGATGGTGCTGCAGTTGACACACAGCAGGAGCCCCAGCAAGAGTGAGTGCTGTCATATGGCCTGGCCTGCAAGAAGCCCAAGCACAGCAAGGGCATCATCCTCATTACATTCAGCACATACAAGCAAACCCTCAAGACCTCTTTGGCAGTCTGAACATAAAAACCACATTCTATAGCTCTACTCATGAGTTTTAAATCTCAAGGACATGGCCCCAAAAGAGTACTCAAGAAGCTCCTTCAGTTGGACCTTCAGGCTGTGCAAGGCCTGGGCCACATACCACTGGAAATTTCCTCCACCCTTCATCATGCAATGGAGTGGGCTAAGCAGTGGCAGTGGCAGCAGCTGAGTCACCACCATCCCTCCTCAGAAGGGGCTCTGAGCTTCTGCCCCTAGATGTGTTCCCAGAGACACACTGTAAGGCCTCTTGACAGTATCGGGTTTGAGGACATGCTGGTAGTACAAACTAGATAACTCGCCTGACTTCTCCACTGTTCTCTGACTGCACTGTGATAGGCCCCATCAACATATTGCCTTCCATTCCTGGCCTATACCCTTCCCTGAAGAACGCTGTCCCTTTACAGCCATTTTTCCAGCCTCCCACTTACCTTGAAAGACCACAAACCTGTCACCATACATCTTGATCCCACCATGATTGCTGGTCCATCTAAATTCCTTACAACTCCTCCAATCCCTGGGCTTCCCAGAACACTGAAGATAGATACCCCTGTCTTACTTTACCTTCCCCCGCCCCCCAAAATTAATATGTTTGCAAAAAAAGAATACATTATGATTCCATAAACATTAGAGACAAAAAGTACACATTGCTGAGCAATACACAGTATAAAAGTAATAAAATACTATAAATAATTATCATAAATATAAATACATTGGTTACTTGTAAAGAAAAGGAGGAGTATATTAACAGCATCTGGGATACTGGTAATGACCTAGGGAAACATGGATGTCTACTTTATACTTATTCATTTTACTATGCATGTATGTTTTCATATGATGTTTATTTTATAATAAAAATTTTGAAACAATATATCTTCTGAAATAATATATTTTTGCAGAGAAGGAAGAAAAGGCTTTTCTTTTTTGCTGAAAATTTTATTTTCTTGGTCTACATATCAATTATTTATTCAGTGTTTTCATAATAAAGAAATAAACCAATATGCTTAACTCTCCATAACCCTAATTAAGAGTAGATACCCCAGGCTTTCCAAATGGCTATCAAAAAAGTACCAGGCTATTAAAGAGTGTAAGATCAGCTACTGTTTTCAGCCTTGCTTAGTTTATGTTGTTTCTGTCACTTTTCTTTCTTTCCAAGGAAATTTCTGATTACTGTCAAAATAAATCTACCTTACATCCAGGCAATAATTTTATTCAGGTTGCACTCCAAAAAATATAACAATATTTAGATCAAAAGTAGGAAGAGAAACACTTTTAATTGACACAGTTTTAAAACAACTTTGGGAGCACCTGTGCACATGTCCAATGTGAGGGCTTGTGACAGGATGGACAGTCATGACACATGAGTTCAAACCAGTGCCATTCTGTGCAAGTATCCACTGTATACAACGTAATGTCAGGTGACTCATTCTAAATAAACCCAACAATGCCCAATCTAAACTATACTGGAGCTGTTGCAATACTGCCTTTAGAAAAACAATAATACAGAGAATTTATTACAAAAAAGAACAACAACAACTTAAAACTGGCTTAAATTACAAACACATATATCCTCACACACACAATTTAGGAAATCCTAAAAGATCCATCACCTAGAAGCACCCTTCAGTGTATGTTTGTTATAACTTCTAGATGAAATTTAGAAGACTAACAGCACTTTCAATGGTATCACTCACCATAACTGAGTTGCTTTTGTTGGATACTGTGTGCATGCGTGCGTGCGTGCGTGTGTGAATGCAGCCAAGGATTCCACAGTTTAGTGAATCTAGCTAACCAGTTATTTACCCTATTAAGTGCCAACTTTCAAAAATGACAGTGTCCAGCAGGGAGCAGCATTAGGGCATTCATAACACTTAACCTGAACACGAACCAGACAGGAAAAAAAAGGAGGGAAAAAGAGCCCACTTACCATAGGTCTGTTCTACAACACATTCAATTTTTAGGGTAGCTGCAGGGCTTCCTGGAAAAAGCATTGAAAACATGTTGCAAAGCATATATCAGTGATCCATGGCTTCAGCATTCCTAAAGCAGAAAATCAAAATTATATTAGGTGAAGGCCTCTCTCAGCCACATTAGTTAAGTTATTATTATATAATATGACTAAATGTCTCTCAGTTGTTAAGATACATCATACATCTCCCTCTTTGGCAGGTCAATGGGATTTTGAATTTAGATATTCAATGACACTTTAGATAATGAATTTAAAAAACAGAATATTAAAGTTTTTTATTTATGAGGGAATTTCAAGTAGAAGAAGAAAGTAACTGGTGACAGTCTATCAATCAACCTAGAGAAAACTGTGTTCAAGCACTTAAAGAAGTTGATACCCAACCACACATAGTTCTGATGTATCGAATTCCTCTACAAGAATTTACAAGTGATATAGAGGACCTAACACTCATTTCTACATGTCAACATGAATATCTTAAGTTAATTTCAAGCATGAAAGGGCAGCAGAGTAGTCTGTAATGCTGATATGTTAAGACAATCATTCAGTCAGATATTCACTGAATATGAAGAATGCTTACGATATTGTTGAAAAACTCTAAGACCAGCTATATGACAAAGGCAAAACATATTATGCTTGATACTATTTTAGACATGGAAACCTGCTGCTTATTCCACTATAATAACTCCATGTCAGTTTTTATGGCTTAGAAAAAATTTTACCACCATTTTTACTTGAAATGTTGTAAGTTTGCTCTATATATTTCCCTGTGACATTTGAGAGTCAACACCAAAAACTAATTTTTTGCCATTAAAAGGTAACAGTATATGAATATTCACCTTAAAATATACAACTACATATAACAGAATATACAATATCACACATCAATATTAATATTTAATTAAATATTAATATTTGTTTGAAATTTAATGAATAGCAAAGGTTCCTACTATTTCCTTCTGACAAAAGGGCAGGAGAATCTTGCATGTATGAATTCAAGACTAATAAGTATTAATTTGACTGAAGCTGAAAGAAACACTCATATATTAATCTTCTACCCTTTATCATTAAGCTCTTTATGGTATTATTCCTATCATTTTCTCTCCTTAAAGTCTTCCTCTTATCCTGTTTCATATCTTTGCTATTGTGCACTGTACTTTTCTGATACTCATGTCAGCCAATCTAACTTCCCTCTCTTTAATGTTTCAACCCCAATTGTTGCTTCATTCAATCTCCTCTGTTTATGACCCTACCATCTTTTTCCTTTTTATTTTAGGACCCTTAAAAGTGAGACTTTTTTTCTGTAATGCATCTGCTTAAATATATTCTTTCACCCATGTATAGGTACCATGCTTGACCTTACACAATCTCATATGATTGAGACTCAGCTACATATACTTACATTGTTGCTCCTTGCAAAAATATTTCTTCTGAGTTATTTACCTATTTGAAGAACTCATTAAATATTCTAAGTTAATCTTAAAACACCCAAAAAATCTCAAGGAAATCTAACCCCACAAACTCATTCCAGTCAATTTGAGATGAACACTGTTCTAATAAACAGGTGATTTAGGACCTTACTACATTGGTGTGAATATTGAGTAAAAACTATTTTAAAGTCAATGAAATTTTAGTGCTATTTTTTCATTTGCTCATGCACTTGTGTATAATATCCTCAGTAAAAAACCAAGGACACATTAAATAACCTCCACTCCTAACATATTATAAAGTCTGAAAAAAAAGTGGTTTCCTTATTCAGTACTCTTCAACATGAATATTATTAACTTGAACAGATTATTGTGAAGCAATTTCGTAACAAAATGTGCACAAACTTTGAGATTTTTATACTATAAACAGGTTAGATAACACACTTATAATGTACTTACCTAAAAAGAGACTGTAGTGTGTTGAGTGGTGTCCCTCCCCACCATTCCCCCAAGTTCACATCCACTTAGAACCTAAGAATGTGACCTTATCAGGATATAGGGTCTTTGCAGATATAATTAAGATAAGGATCAAAAATGAGAAAGAAAGCCCATTATAGAAAACAGAACAAGTAACTCTGGAGAAATCAGAGGTAAGTAGGAAGAGAATAAAAAGAAAAAAAATTCTATTTAACATCTTCCGAGACAGTAAATAAGATATTGCACCAATAAAACAAGGGGTATGAAAGAGCAGAATTAAATAACAAAGTAGAATTTAAGGAAATTTTAAGATAGAATACCTGTCTTACCACCACATACCTTCATATACAAAAAATATAAAAACTGGAACAAAAACTGAACAGAATAACAACCTAAGGAGAATAATAATCTCTCTTAAAAAGTTGCAAGAAAAGAGACTCCTCTCTCTCACCTCCCAAAAATACACACAAACATACACAGGAGAAAATAAAAAAGGGAATACAGAAAAAAAAGAAGAAAAATATATATCCCCAGCCACATCTTTTCATAGGTTGTTGAACGAGGGCCCATAAGCCAAATCCAGCCAAATCCAGCCAATTCCACTCCAGCAAACCAGGTTTTCCTGGAACCCAGCTACGCTCATTCGTTCACAGGTTGCTCATGGCTGCGTTTGTGCTACAACAGCAGAGTGAAATAGCTGCAACAGGGACTATATGATCTGCAAAGCCTTAAATATCTACGGTTTATAGTCTTCTACAGAAAAAGTTTGCCAAACCTTGACATAGAACTATATTGTCCAATACAGTAGCAACCAGCCCAATGTAGTGTTGACATTTAAATAATTAAAATAACATTTAAACTTCAGTTTAAATATTCCCCAATTATGTCAACCCCATTACAAGTTCCCAATAGCCATGTGTACTTAATGGCTATTGTACTGGATGGTGTAAATATAGAATATTTCCATTAACACAGAAAGTTCTACTGGACAGGAATGATTTGGAACTGTATTTTAATTATTGCTTTTTAAAAAGTGCTATAGTGGAAAATAAACAAAATAATACCTAAGAGAAGCAGGAAGAAAGATTAAATTCAGAAAAAAACAGAAATTATTAACATTAGAAAAGGAAATGTATAAAATCTAAGACACCATTCTATGAAAATACCACTACAATACTTTTTAAATATTTCAAAGCTATTCAAAAAGACATAAAATTGAAAGAAAATCTAAAAATGAGAATCTAAATAATCATCAGAGATATGGAATATAATCTAGAAGAATTCAACATACAGAATACAATTCATGCCATCAAATTTGAAAATAATAAAAAATTGCTTATCAAGAGATTATAGTTCAAAGTAAGGGAGAAGTAGTAGAGTGGGTAATACATGGTTTCGATTTAGTTCTGAGCTCCCAGAACACCATGAGACCCTCTAGTAAGCCTCCACAGTATCTGTTACATGCCTTACCCACACTGACACAGTAGGAATATGAACCCCAGGTCTCAGAAGAGCCACTGATAGACCAGCCATAGAGGTATTCATTTCTGCCATGGGGTACATTGCCTACTGTGACCACTGTTTCCTGGTGAGCCTTAAATAGGTCATTGCAGTCTTTCTATTGTACCTGAAGACTATCAACTTCAACTGGTCTACCCAACCACGGAGCAACATCCATAGAGAAACCTCCAGCACAAAACTTCGCAATCCACTTTTGACACATTTGATCAGTCTTGGCACCTTCTCCATGTACTGCACAAATCTTTTTTTTTTTTTTTTTTGGTGTTTCAGTTACATTTTTACCTTTCTTTTTTTTCCCCTTAATTGATTTTTATTACTTTATTGTTGTTCAATTACGGTTCTCTGCATTTTCTCCCCACCACAGCCCCCGAATCCTGCCAAACCTACCTCCCTCCTTGCTTCCACCCTCCCCGTTGGTTTTGTCCATGTGTCCTTTACTATTTTTACCTTTCTTGAAATAATAAAGCATAATATGCTGAAAATGTTGCATATTTTCTTCCATCTTCAATATTGAAATGGCTACACAAAAATTCACCAATTTTAGATTACATTTTAAATGTACACTGATATGACAATACAATCTAACAAAATTGTTTTGAATGATGTTAAAGACACCTAAGTACTACTAGAGTCGTTTTATAGAAAAACCAAACGAATTTTTGGCGAACCTAATACCTTTTTTTTCCCCAGTACCAAGAATGAACCTAACCTGAAACAACAAAATCACATAAAATCCACAGTTTACTATAGGGTTGGTTCCCTTTTAGTGCTATACATTCTATGGATTGGGACCAAAGTATAATTACATATATCCATCATTATGCCATACAGAATATTTTTACTGCCCTAAAAATCTGCGCTTTGTCTATTCATCTATCCCCCCAACCACCTCTGGTAACCAATGATCCTTTTTATTGTCATTATAGTTTTGCCTTTTCCAGAATATCGTATAGTTGGAATCAGTATGTAGATTTTACAGATTGGCTCTTTATACTTAGTAATTTGCATTTACATCTCCTCCATGCCTTTTGATGGTTTGATAGCTCATTTGTTTTTAGCACTGAAAAAAGTCCATTGTCTGGATGTACCACACTTGGTTTATCCATTCACCCACTGAAGGATATCTTGGCTGCTGTTAAGTTTGGGCAGTTATGAATAAAGCTGCTATAACCATCCATGGGCAGGTTTTTATGTGGATATGTTTTCAACTCCTTTGGGTAAATACCAAGGAGTACAACTGCTGGATCATATGGAAGAGTATATTTAGTTCTCCAAACTCTCTTCCAGAATGCCTGTACCATTTTGCATTCCTGTCAACAATGCATGTGAGTTCCTGTGACTCCACATCCTAGCCAGTATTTGGTATTGTCAGTGTTCTGGATCTTGGCCATTATAATAGGTGTGCACTTGTATCTCGATGTTGTTTCAATTTGCATTTCCCTGATGGCATATGGTGTGGAGCACCTTTTCATATGCTTACTTGCCATCTGTATCTTCTTCGGTCACGTGTCTGTTAAGGCCTATTTTCAAATCAGGCTGTTTTCTTGCTATTAAGAGTTCTTTGTATATTTTGGATAACAGTACTTTATTAAATGTATGTTTTGCAAATATTTTCTCCCAGTCTGTAGCATTTCTTCTCATTCTCTTGA